CATGGCTGTTCCCTGACGGAGGGCGGGAGGCAGCACCAGACAACGTGTACATACGAGTCCTGCCGTGTCCTCGAACAGTATCTTTTCCCCCTCTTTGGCAGGTAATGTGCTTGAAACTTTCCTGAAGGCATTGTCGAGAGGGATGGTCAGCTCGTCCGCGAGAAGGCTACCGAGTATGGTGGCAGCATTTTGCCCCTGTACTGTAATTTCCGCAACTTTCCGCCTTGACCGGTCGACCCGGAGGATGAGGGTGATGTCCGCTCCAGGCAAATTTTTTGCAAACACGCAAATATCAAGTCTGTCCTGCTATTGATGATTAGGGTTTTCCTACCTCCAAAGTCAGACATAGAGTAGCTGCAGTGCAGTTCAACATCTTCATGAATAGATCTGGTTCGGTCATAGACGTGCCCTGGCTTCTTGTAGTGTTCATGAGCAAAGAACAAATGTGTTCGTAATGCCCGTTTGGTGGGGGGGGGGCAATAATCTGGAGACACGTCAAATGGGCCTAGAATGACAGCCACATAGTACAAGTGAACATCAGGCGTCTCCTAGCTGGGGTCACAGCGAACATTTCTACTATCATAGCTAGCGTATGCTAGGATTTGGAAATGCCGACCATGTTAAGAATGTTTCAGAAAGACAGCGGGTGACAACAGAATTGATATAATGGTGAAATAGATCTCTGGGGAGGGTATTCTGAGAATTGTTGCAGGGCACCAACATGAGACATGAGTCGAGAAAGAGGGAGAGGGATGCACTGGCGAATCATTGGACCAGAAGAGCGGAAAATACGGACACGCAAAGACATGTCCAAGTGCGCTCCGGCTAGGCCAGCAATGGTAAGGCGGCGCCCGACAATTGGATTCTCCAAACATTCGTCAACTTTTTTTGCCGGACTGATAAATTCTGTACAGCAAGCATCCCGAAGATTGAGGCGTGGGATATCAGGCACCATCAGTCAACAACAACTGCGATGTTATCTGGGAACACACATATCACTTGAATACCCCGTCTCCCTCCCTGCCACCTCCCATAATTCCCTTCACAATGGGTAGGAAAGACTCTCAAAAATCGGTCTCCAAAATTTCCTCCGCCTCGTCGCCCGCAGTGGCTGCCAGCGCCAATACTCGAAAAGTCTCAGTGTTGAAGTCAGCGTTTGCTCCTTCACAATTACAACTGCACCTATTCGCCTCGGTCATTCAGAGTTTCGACGTGCACCAACTGCGCATTCACGATGCGACTACGGGACGTTTGCGCAGCCAGCATGAGACCAGAGCCGGGTCAAAGATCACTTGCCTCGACTGGGGCTACTATGGTGCTGCATACCGGGAACGACTGCAGTCGGCTTCGAAGAAAAAACGCAAGCGGAACTCTCAGAGTAGTGATGGTGCAGTCATCGCTTACGGAACCAATTACTCGCAGATCTGCATGTTCTCACCCGCCGAAGGTCGAATTGTAGGCACTCTGAGTGGAGGACACGAACGAGGTGTTAGAGATTTCAAATTCTCCTGCGCAGATTATCTGTATGGTTGGAGCATAGGCGAAGATGCACAGCTCATACAATGGGATCTGGCCAATGATCAACCTATCAGGTTAGTAGCTCCTCCGCAGCTGTACCATGACATTTGATTGTTGACAAAAGCAGGACAATCAATCTACCAGATCCTGCCATCAGCATCCTCGCTTCGCCGACTCAAAACGCGCCTCACATCATATGTGCCTCTTCCACCCCGTTTACAATCGACCTCGTCTCGTCCGACGACTTTCGAATAGACCGCTTTGACTCCTTCAAAACCCCGGTGCAGTCATTATGCCGGTCGGGCTCAGATGTTGCAGGGACTTCTGGATATTTCCTTGCTGCAGACTCGGGTAGATATGTCAACGTCTACGACATATCTCAAAAGAGACTGGTGCGCACCCTAGTCGCTGGAAGTGGTGTTATTTCTATCGAACTCGCGACTCCTGCTGTGGAAACGACAGATACCCTCCTCCAACAGGTTCTTTGCGTTGTGACAAAAGAAGGCACCGTTGAACTCTTTCCAAGACCTTTTGCAGAGAACCAGCAAGTCAACGGAGACTTGAAATCCAGCAGAAAAAACCTCACAAAAAAAGCATCGGCCTCAATACGATTGGTCGCTCCAGGCTCCAAGGTGAAAACGGTACCGATAGTTGCAGGCATTGTCCAAGGATCCGACGTCGTCCTGGTTTCCGCTGATGGAGGTGTAGATCTGGCCTTTCAGAAAGTGAGATGGCAAGACGAAGGAAATGGAGAAATACTGTTTGACGGCGTTAAGGAGGTTCTGAGAGCGACGAGCACATCGACCCTCAATACGGCTACTCTCAACGGTGTTAAGGACCTCGGGAAATCACACGTAGATGAGTCGAGGACTGTGGTCATCAACGGCGAGGCAGTCGCTGCACCTTTGGACCCTGCTATTCCAATCTCTGACAGTGAGAGTGCCGAAGAGAGCGAGGATGACGAGGAGAGTGAGTCTGCAAATGAGGCTGTAACTAGGGCGAAGGACGAAGACGCAGGACAAGATGGTGAAGGCTCGATGATTGATTCCGATGAGGAAATGGCAGATGCTGAAGAAGCAGAAGACTCGGCGTCAGGCAAGGCAGCCACCGATGCAGAAGGAGAAGAGGGAGAACCCTCCTTCGGCGACATGTTGGCATCGAAACACCCTCACGAGATATCCATCGCATCAGCCATCCCTCAACGCGACACTTCCGCCCTCATACTCAAGCCCGGCCAAACAACCATCCCCTCGGGAATGTCTCTCTCCACAGTCCTGACTCAATCACTCCGCACCAATGACACATCTCTTCTGGAAGCTTGCCTGCATACCCTGGACATGTCTATTGTCAAATCCACCATTCAAAGGCTCGACTCCACCCTCGCTGGCGTTCTCCTGTCCAGACTCGCAGAACGACTCGCTTCGCGTCCGGGGCGGTATGGACACCTCATCACATGGGTGCAGTGGACGTGCATCTGTCATGGCGGAGCAATAGCAAGCCAGCCCGGCGTGGCAGCGAAAGTGAGGACGCTTTATGAGGTTTTGAACGCCAGGATGAAGACGTTGGATGATTTGTTGTTGCTGAAAGGAAAGTTGGATATGCTGGATGCGCAGCTAGATTATCGAAAACAGCTGCTGGCCCAGAGATATGCGGGCAGCAGAAAAGGGAGAAATGAACCCGGAATTGTTTATATCGAGGGGGAAGATAACTGGGACAGCGATGACGAAGACCTGGACGAGGACATTGCCAGACCGACCAAGAAGTCAAGGACGAAGCCACAGAGAGATCTGGATGAGCTTGTCGGCGATGATGATGAAGAGGAGGATGATGGAGATCTGATGCCTCTCGAAAACGGTGTAGAGGATACGTCATCTGACAACGAAGAGGACGACGACAGTGAGGAAGATGAGGATGAAGAGGAACAACCCAAGATGAACGGCATCCGCCATGGGGGAAATTTTGTTGACGATGAAGCTGAAGTTTCCAATGCCGAAGAATCCGACCCCGACGATGATGGGCCGTCCCCAGCAGGCTTGGAGACTCCATCCGCTGCATCTTCTGACAATGAAGAGGGGAGTAGCGACGATGATGAAGACGAGGAAGATGAGGAAGAAGACTCGGAAATGGACAGCTTCATCAACGACGGCTCTGTCGACTTCGAAGAAGAAGAAGGCGATGAAGTGCGTGTGCCCGGTGACTCCAGTGATGATGAAGGTGCAAATGACCATGTGGATGTGCCTGAGGAGACACAGCCTGTGCCGAAATCAACTCCTCTCAATAAGAAAGGCAAAGCAAACGGTAAAGATGATGTGGATATGGACTTGGATACGCCCAGGTCGAACCAAAAGTCGAAGAATAAAGCGGGCAAGAAGACGAACAGGATCTGAGCGATCCACCTTCACTTGTCGATGACATTACGCGCTGTGGGATTGCTCTACATCTTGTATCCGCCAACAAGCCATGCTTGAACACCAATGCCTGGCACTCTATCTGCACGTCTGCCGTCCTACGCACTCATTCGTTACTCTGCCTCTATCGCCATCTACGTCGATGTCTACATAACCTCTTGTCAGGATATATATGTGGAGCGGGATAGGAATGACAGATTTGGAAAACGGAGCCAGTGCCTCGACACACGTCTTAATGCCACTCAACACTCCCGCCGACCATCACGGCCATTACCACCACCATAGGTTTCCTCTACCGCCATCATCACATATCGAATCCAACAAATCATCCTCCTCATCATCATATTATAATTAACCTGTTCCACAGCCCACCCCCAGACGACGTCGAAGACATTTGCGCGCACAGTATAAACGACCCTGCCCTCATCTGACGCCACGATTCAAGCACGAGGGTGTGTATAGAGGACGGATCAAGGCATCAGCATCAGCATCAGTGCGGTATGGCACCACAGGAGTCACGACGGGATGGAACGAGGATTCGATCATCAAAACTCACCCCCTTTAGCTTATGTCTCTCCCTCTCACACCCTACCTCTCTTTCCCTTCCTTTCCTACAAGTCGACGGCAAAAAGCATTTAGTCCCGGGCGGCTTCGGCTTGAAAATTCAGCATAGCGAGGACCTGGATACCAGCGAGCATGACATGAACATTGATGGAGCATTATCGCGTATTATGCATGGAGTATTGAGCATCTGAAGCATTGGGCATGTTTTCTTATCTTGTAGATTGCGTGCAACTAGGTCCAACAAAAAAAGTTCAGCTATGAATGAATGATTGTTTGTCGTGTTCTCTCGGAGGCTGGCTATCAATTTGCTGTGGATAAAAATACCCGCCTTCTACCTCGCTGTCTTCGATGATGGTTTGTTGATAGGGAATGGATGTCCGTCGTCTGCCAAAGACCAAGACTGTGCCGTGAACGAGGCTTCCTCTCATGTTGGCTCATTCCACTCTCCCCTCCTCATTCCTCGCTCTTCATCATGGTCCATCTGCCTGGTCCCTCTGCCTGATCCACAATCTACCGGATAACGTCCTCCCCATATCCAATCTCATCCACACCAAGATTGTCACACCAACCTTCCAGAACACGACTACCGCCCAGCACACCTGCCCGCTGACCCAATCCATACACTTTCTTTCCTTTACTTTTCCCTGCCCAAATCTCAAAGAACTTGACAGTGTGGTCACAGCATGCGATGATGAGGCTGCCTTCGTCTTCTGTCCGGCTTGCCCATCGCTCGCCTTCGCGTCGATTCTCGCCACTGTAACCATCTGTCAGAAATTCCTCAGCACCCATGCCCGGATGCCCTCTGCGTATCACTGGGAAGATACTTCGCTCGGGACTTGGGGCTGGACTGCGACGAACTCGAGGACCGACCGTCCCCACTGCTCTTGCAGCGGCTCTTCTTCGCTCGGCCTCGGTTTCTCGAACTCCTTCCCATGTCGAAAATTCGCCATTAGACCCATCTTGTCTTCGGATGGGTATAGCATCATTCGGTCCGCCCGGATAAGGGATTGCCCATAGTGCACGGCTGATCTCGCCATTCTGTCTTCTTTCCCAGGGAATACTCACCACGCATTCACAGGTCGGCCAGCTGAAAACAGCTATCCTAATTCCATGCTCCGGCTGCGAATATCCAAAGGTCGCAACTATCTCGCGTCTCGTTGTGCTCTACACCAGGCTAGTGACTTGGGAGAAGACATTGATCAGGGCCAGAGTTGCACCTGATCCTGTGTGAAAGAAATGAATCTGGCGATCATTGCTTCCGCCTCCAGTCGCCAGCAGGTTCGGCTGCCATGGAGCAAATGCGATGGCCTTGACAGCAGCTGCGTGATCAAAGGAATGGATGTGAAGATTAGAATCTCCAGGAATGACGGGATCCACGAGCGCGTTGTGAAGAACAGACTCATTCGACGGAACAGCAGTCTGGGGGTCACCAGGCGGGTTGAGGTCTTGCATGGTTGGAGAGTGATCGACTACTCTGCTGGGACGCAAAGGGGATGGAGGTGGTGTTGCTAGGTCAGTATCGCGCATATCGTTGGCTGATCCTCTATCGAAGTTGGACGATTCTCGGTGACTTGCCGATCGATATCTCTGCGGCGTATCCGGGGGTGTGGGAAGCTGAGACGTCGAAAAGCTGGAGTCATCAAACATGTCTGCCGTGGAGCTAGGTGTACTCGGGGAGATATTTCTCTGGTGGTCTGCGTGGAGGAAGACTGACGGATCGAAAAGTAAAGCCCGATTGTCATTGCCACCAGAGACAAAGTGCCTGCCGTCTAGTGACCAGGAGATGCCGCAGATGTTCTGGCTGTGGGCGTCAAGTTTGGCCAGAAGCGTCATTGATCCAGGAGCAAATTCGGGCCACTCCAAAGAATAGTAGTATATCATGCCAGAGTCGTCGCCGACGACCAAGTCTTCGCACATGACTGTGCCATTCCCTGTGACAGACGGTCGCTGGGTTTGAACAGGTTTGAACGACACACAGGACGCTGCGCAAGGATGAGGCGCATCGAATCGTGGCCTAATCTCTAGCAAACTCCATAATGTGATAGTCCCGCTGTTCCTGGCGACTGCCAATATCGCCTTGGCCCCTTTCTCAGATGAGAAAGCTAGAGAAGTCACAAAATCGGCAGGTCGGCAAGGAGGGAGTGGTGGATAGCGCACGCCATACTGTTCGGTCCAGAGATAGACTTTTTGGCCCAGTGCGACAGCTAAGGAGTGACAGGTCTGATTGTAGGCGAGGACGGAGCAGTAATAGTCGTCTTTGAGGTTCGGAGCGTCAAGAACCCGAAAAGGGACGGTAGGAACCACCTTTTCGCTTTCGAGTAATCCTCCATCTTTGTATGCCCGATCTACTTCAAGGTCAGTAAGCAAATGAGAAACAGGTATATTCACATATTACACCAACAGGTCGGCTCCCGGGTCCATGCACTGTTCCTCCATACAAAGGGACAATGCTCGGGTTTCCGGTTGCCATCCTTGTCTTCGAGGGCGGGATTTTGCAGCAGGATGCGAGCCGCTTGGTCAATGTCGAGCGCCAGTGCCAGGCGGCGTTCGTGTGCTACTTCTTTGTCGTGACCAGTCGCGTGGGCCAGAAATGTAGCCGTGTGCAATGGAGCAGTGCCTCCACTTGCCAACATTCCACCCAAGCCAGTAGGTACACCCTGCAATTGCCCCAGATGAGCGGACAGTCTGCCTCCTACTGTCCAAAATCCTGTACTGATCTGACGGAGAGTTCTTGTCGCTATACTCCTGTCAATATGTGCAGGAGTGGAATCTCTGCCATGAACAAAAGAGGGAACATATTGTGGGGGACGCAAGTTATAGACATTAGGTGCGTTTCTCTGTCTAGTTAACATTCGGGACCTCGTCTCGCTCATAGAGCGAAAGGGGTTCACTGTGTTATCTCGCCGGCGTTCATTTCTCTCCCTTCCTCGAAGTATGACTGGAGGTGTGGTAGTTTCATAGGCTCTTCGCTTATCCACGTGAAGAGGTCTTTGTGGAATGAATCGGTCGGGTGAGGTGAATTGCGACCGAATCTGTAGAGGGCTGCCGGTACTCAGGCTGCGTCTTTGCTAGGGACGGGACTTTGTTCGTGAGGATGCTTGGGCTGGATGATCCTCGGAGACCAACTCCGAGGTCGATTGGTGTTGGGGAAAGTGACGGAGCAATGGGCGTTCTGTAGTAGGAATGGCATGTTCTTGCAGTGCAGTGGACACTGATGCTCTGTTCGCATCATCCGTGATTGAGGAGCGAGGACTACTCGACAGTTCTGAACGAGACGTTTCTGCAGAAGACGCGGCATGGTCCATTTGAAGGAATGTCAGGTTGATAGTCAGACTTTGAACACCTTGACAGCAGTAGAGCCCTCTGATCTAGCGAGGGGCGGTAAGCAGCCGAGATTGACTCGAGCGGCCACCTGCATTCCCTTTATACAAGGGATGAGCTTGAGGTCGGTCTCTGGGCACTTGGTGACAGTGATCGAACCTCTTCACCACCCGTGGAGGCGCCACTCGCACAGAGCACTTTGACTTGATCAAGTGCAGGACAAGCAATGTGTCGCCGATTTGTACCTATGTTAGTGACAAGCCATCACTTGTCAGTAAAGTGTGTTGGTTGGTATTGATGCTTGGTAATTGAGGTACAAAAAGAATAGGTGGTTGAGTTGGGTGCCTGGAATTGTGTTGGCTGAAGTGTCATTGGATTCTGACCTTGATCGTTCTTTCACCTTGTTACACCCCTCCACAAGTCTCTCTTCAACAAAGCGCAGGTTAGTGATCCTGCTTCTTGGATTGGCCTCATCCTCAAATATGGCAAGCGTAAGCTAGACGAAGTCCGCAGGTGTAAATTGCTCGGGTTGACCTATTGACCAGCATGGCGTGCTTCGCACAACGACCCGCGAGGAGCGAACGGCAGAAGCACGGCAGAAAGAGTTGAAGGAAATCGATCAATATCAACAGCTTGTTGAAGAGGTCAACACTAAGGTCTCTGGGACAATCTTGATGATTCAGAGATGAAGATGCTAATGTTGATTGTGAGCAGGTTGCTGCAAAGGAATTCACCCCGGTGCTACTCCAACAAACCGCACAGCTGCTGAAAAGGAACCCAGAGTACTATACCATCTGGAATCATCGCCGTCGCATCTATGTCAGCGAATTTGAGGATCTTGCAAAACAGACAGCCTCGGGTCAAATGGACGAAGAGACTCGAATCAGCCAGGTACTAGATATCATCCAGCTGGACTTGCAATTTTTGTTTCCTCTTCTCCTCAAATTCCCTAAATGCTACTGGATCTGGAATCACAGAATATGGCTCCTGGAGCAGTCTACGGCTCTTCTTCCAGCTGCAAAGGCTCGAGGAATATGGGAAGATGAGCTCGGATTGGTGGGCAAGATGCTCAGTCGGGACAGCCGAAACTTCCATGGTTGGGGCTATCGACGGATTGTGGTGCAGAGCCTCGAGAGTCCAGCTTTGCAAGGGCAAAGTATGGCGAGACAGGAATTGGAATATACCAAAAAGATGATAGGCACCAACCTCTCCAACTTCTCAGCCTGGCACAACCGGACAAAGCTCATTCTGAGAATCTTGGACGAAGAGAAAGCCTCTGACGACGAAAGACAAAAGATGCTGGACGAAGGTAAAGTCTTTGATTGACGAGTTTGTCGATGAATGCTGACCATCCCAGAACTCGAATTGATCCATAAGGCTCTATTCGATCCCTACGACCAATCACTCTGGTTCTATCACCAGAACCTAATGTGCACCTTTGATCTTGACCAGGCACCAAAGAGTATGGCGCCGAACCTGTCTGACGAGCAGCGGCTGGAATACATCGCATCAGAGCGGGAGTACATTGAGGAAGTTCTGGAAGACGCTCAAGATTGCAAATGGCCATACCAAGCGTTGATCGAATGTACAATGCTAGAAAGCAAATTGCAAACTGGCCTTGAAGAGGAGGGTTGGGGAAAGGTGGCGCTGTGGTTAGAGAAGCTCAAACAACTTGATCCTCTTAGAAGAGGGAGGTGGACTGAGATGGAACAGCAACTAGGCAAGCAACGAGTAATGCAGCATTGAGATGGAGTAAAGTGGCCTTATACCATCTGGAGTTCCGTACTTGTACTATGTAATAAAGCTTAACCACTATGTATGGGACAAACGAACCTGCCCAGCACCACGGTGACGAATCCCTGGAGCAGCTGAAACAAGCCCCATTGTGAAGGGAGCCGCAAGGACTTCGCAGGCTGCAGGACCCCTTTATGGAACAGCCAAACAACGGCGTGACGGGGCTTGATCAAAGGGGCAAGGCAGTGGAAAATGCGATGAGATGGGGCTCACTAGGCTTATGCTCCATGCTAAACACGGGCTTCTGGCCCCCCTTGGTCCCGACATAGGCATTGACGGGGCTCAAGGAGGGAGGAGTGTATGGGAATCGCGCATCGGAGCATCGTGGTGTGGTACAACTGCGGATGATGGTATCGGATACTAGAAAAAGAGCAAAAAGACAGCTTTCCTCTCCAATTCAATCCACTGTGTCGCCTCACCCTGATTTCCTCCCGAGCCATAGATCTCGGAGCCTAATCGTCTCGAGCACGAGGTCCGCAAGATCTCGCTGATCCTTCTTTCCACTATCAACTGTTTACAAAACTGAAAAGTTGCTCGCTTCCCGCGTCACCCAAGAAAAAGCGCGGTCATTCGGTCATTTACTCGGTACTTCGCTCAACTGCCTCCATTGAAGGTGCAAGGATCAAGGCAGACGGACTCATTCTCGGGCTGCTTCTTCTCTCGATATCACCAAGCACGACTCCCTGCCGGGACACTGACCAACTGTGGTGACATCTGTTCCTCGTTTGGAGTTGGAACCTGCGCATCTAATACTCTTTTCGACGCTCCCGCATCGACTACAAAGGACAACGCGGCCCCAACCTCAACACACGCGCCCACCCTCTGCCTCCCACGAGTCCCACTCCCTGTAATTATCGGTCATCGTGTGGTAAAGGATGATATGAGCATGCCTGGTGGCTCTTGAAGGCAGACCAATATGGCGAATAGTGCAGACAATCCGGACATCGAAGAGGTAAAGCGCTTGGAGTTTTACGCTTCTCCGTTCAGACGAAACATGTTTTCTAACGCAACTTAGAAATTTGAGGATGCCACGGATGTCAACAATGATTCGAAGCGAAGTTCCTCCCAGTCGGATCAGCCGCCTCACGGTCCCAAGAACTCCAATGACCCTCCTCCGATCTCGAACGACAATGAGGAACCTAAAGAAGAGCAAAGAGATAGTACGGGGACTTCAGAGTCGAAAATCCCTGATATAACTACTGATACAAGCGCTGTGGATGATTCCCATGACGCTCAGCAAACCCCTACTTTGAAAGCTCCAGAGCCTTCCACCGATGCCTCGGGCGATCCTTCAGAGAAACCTCTCCCTCCTAAACCTGCTACCCGCCCTTCGAGATTCCAAGGCTTTTCTGCTTCTCTCCCATCAGTGCCTTGGGGACCGCCTCCTCCCAGAAAAGCGTCAGACGCTCGAGCACCCTCTCCGCAACCACCCCAACCACAGTCAACGTCCACCTTTAGCCGCAAAGTGACTACTCCGTTCGGATGGCTCAGCCGAGCAACATCGGCTCCCAAAGAGACACGCTCGCCCCCCTTACCCTCCAAGTCACAAGTTGACGCCCGTCGGAATACGGCAGCATCAGCATCCACTCTCGGTAGTAACGCTGATTTGACGCTAAAGGCGCTAGAAGAGTCTCAAGATGGGTCAAGCGGTCAGAAACAGCCTTCTAGAGCATCGCTCCGCGAACAATTCAAGATGCTACGGCTGCGGGAAGAAGCAGGCATAGCGAGCTTGGAGGGAACAGAGTCATCCGAAGGAGGTGCAATAGCTGGACTTATTGGAAGGTCAGCTAGTTTGGGTGTGGGAATCGCCACTCCGGGCAGTGTAGGTCAGGATGAAAACGTTGTCTCTACTCCTGTTATGTCTCCGACCTCGCCCATAGCCGAATCACTACCCACCGATCCAAATCTGCCTCCAGGAACAGTGGCAGGGGTGGCGGCAGCAACTGCAGATACCAGCACCCCAATTGATTGGGACTTCTGGCAAAACGTTGTTAATGAGGGTCCACAGGCCGTTGCTCGGACGAGTCCCGATGAGTTCACCCAAGCCATCAGTGGTGGGATCCCACAGACCATCAGACCAGTTATATGGCAAGTTTTAGCAGGCAGCAAGAACGAGGATCTAGAGGCCGTCTACTGGGATCTCAAGTCCCGAGGGCCACACTCAGACATGAAAGAGGGCATGTCCAAGTCTCCCTTACTGAATGGGCATATCAACGGAAACACCAAGGAAAAAGAGTCGGTAGCGTCGTCGAGATCGTCGATAAGATCTGATCACTCAACGCCTGCCACCAGCTCCAACGTAGGCGTCGCTTCTCCTTCACCTTCGCACGAGGCGACGGATCCCATGAGCACGGCTCGTCTCCAGACTCAACTGGCAGCGGAGAAGGCAAAAAAGGCCAAAGAGGATTCAGCAGCGCTGGCCAAGCTCGAGAAGATGATCAAACGAGATATGGGCTCCAGGACAAGCTACTCAAAGTATGCAGCAGCTGCAGGTCTGCAAGACGGGCTTTTTCACGTG